CCCCCCCCCAACCAAAAAAAAAAAAAAAATTAAAACGTTTTCACAATAATGTCAGTGTCATAAGTTTCATGTTGGAATGGGGCCACAATCCTCGGGTGACCATGAGTGTGTGCACCAGATTTCCTGTCAATCAGTTCAATAAGTATTGATATACTTTACTATGGACCCAACTGGTGAACGGGACTGAATGCATAAAAGCTAAACCTCAGATCGATTTAAGACGTAGCGTATCTATAACAGTGTTAAAGTATTTAAAGGTGGATTATTCCAGTACTATAAAAAGCTTGATCTGGCCTTGATTAGCTGGATGCTTTATATATAAAAAATAAATGTCCAGCGTTGGTGGTTAACCTCAGCATATGATTGCATTCATTAAAGGACTTTTGACTAAGACTTGGCTTGCTAAAGAGCAGAATGAGAGCTTTACAGTATAGTTGGTCTAACAAGGTATAATTCCCCAGTTTCAAACAATGAACATTGGAAAACAAACACTTTTCTTTTCAAACACTGCACAGTTCCTTAAAAGTGCCACTCCATCCAGTACATACATCATGCAATGTCAACACAAGAATATCAGGATCTTTGTCAAACACCCTGACTAGTCACAATTAAAGAGCTCAGTTCCTTAGATTAAGCGGTTTGTTGGGAGGTTATGTTACAGTGCAGTTTTCCTACAGACATAAATGCATAGGATACAAATCAGTCAAACACTACAATAAACGTCAAGCAATACAAAAAGAAAAGGAGAAATAGAACAGAAGCAGATCACAAAAACTGTGATCGAAATAAAAGTCTTGGTCATTGGCACTGGGGGTCGGAGTGGAAGGGAAGCGGGGTGGTAGCGGGGCTGGAATAAATAACTAGTCATACACTGATAAGATTTATATATGGTTGCCTCATTTTTGGATCCTACAGCTGTGAGGACAACAAAGACAGGTGCAGAAACAGACCACAAACATTCTGTACACACTAACACTGAAGTCCTTAGCAAATTTCAGAATAAAAGTAGCATCACTCTCTAAAAAAAGTGAGAGCCGTTTGGTGATCGACTTGACGTGCGTGCGCCTTTGCACACAAACTCTCACAGTTCTGGAAAATTTTTAGGGGTAAACACAAAGTCTGCTAAGGCTTCATCGTGGGGATAAGAGATACACAGTGTTCAAAAGAGCAGTTATTATAGTTTAGTTTCAACAGTCTTGCTAGCGATTGTGTTTGGTGCATGGCAGGAGAGGCATAGTCAGCTTAGGTTAGGTTATGAGCCGCTGTGTGCATTAGAGATCCTTGTCACAATTATGTACACTTAAATAAATGTATGTGTTACTGTCACATGCCATGTTTTTTTGTCTTTCTTTCTGATGCTTTCTGCCATTCTGCACCTTGACTTGAACCTTTATTTTTCCCAGAGGCCTTAACTTGTCTACCAGTCGGAGAAAAATCACATACGGGTCAGTTATTTCCTGTGCAACAAATGAAGCGAAAAAAAATTACTTGTATGTATAAATACCGCATGGGAATCTTTTTACATAGTATATATGATATCTTATATATTCTGTTAAAATATACTTTTCAGTTTTCTAGAGTAGTCCAAAGTTTGTCTTTCATCTTACTTTCAACTCATGATACTGATTAGTTAAAATTAGGGTGAAAGTCGGCACAGACAGTGGAAATTTGCTGCTAGAGTCGAGCTCTCAATATATTATTTCTGCTATATTATATTGTAATATATTATTTGTATATCAACGTCTCTAATCAGCTCATACAAAAGATTTTCATGCTAACAGGTGATGGAAAAAAAACTTCAATAATATAGAAATGACTGCTATAGATTTTATATTTAAATAACTCTTGCTATGACTGTGAGCTAAAGGCAGATATTGGCTTTTCCTATGTAAATCAACTTCATAAAGCTTCCTCTAAAATACTAAGACTTCATGAAAAATGATAAATAATGATTTATTTAACAGTATAGCTCCATCCACACAGGAGGCGATTTACTGATGATTGGTCGCTAGCAGTCAGCATGTCAAACAGTGATATCTTGAGCTTGAGCTAAACTGAGACAAGTTTAACTTAAGACCTGCCCACTTTGTGCAGCAAGCACTTTTTCCTCCTTTTTTTCCCACTTTGAGTCTCTGAATGTGACTTTCTATGGTTGTTTCCTGTGTGGACGGGGCTGAAAGGGAATGAATATAAAACCGTTAGCTGAATAATAGTCAATTAAGTACTTTTTTCTGGATTTGTTTCTAAAATGGCAACAATGTGGTAACTTGATAACTGTTGTTTTTAATAAACTATGATATATTCAAAGGCAATAGTTACACATCTGTGGAAATACGGTGTTTCGTTTTTCACGGTTTCTCACCAAATTTTTGAAGCCATTCACAAATCCAGGTTGCAGTGTAGCGTCCCTACGAAATGCTAACCAGAAGTGAATTGAGAATTATAATAATAAGATTTTCATTAGCCAGTTTGACGGTAATTAGTATGCAAACGTCTACCTTGATTCCTTGCTTCTTTGAAACAGCACCAGTGCTGCTTATCTATCTAATGTTATTAGGCTAAGATATTGTCTATGGGTTGCCATGGTTGCACAGAATAAATTCAATCACCTTATTATGACATTAGATGACACAATGTTAGCTGCTCTAAATAGAGATCAACAGTAACAACATACCCAATTTCTGGAAGTGAATTTCTCATTCATTTTCTCCATAGATTTCACTCAAAAAACCTTCTAGTCTTCTCAAATGTATTCTTATTCATTTTTTGTCGGTTAGCATAGCTTGGAAGAGTACTTTGTTCCTGATTGCAATAACTGTCCTGGTGCTTTCTTAAATTTTGTGTTACTCAGTAAGGAACCTGATGTTCATGGGTTTAAAGACCAACAAGTATCTCTTTTCCATGACATCTTGAATAAAGCAGTTTCTATTGAAACAAAGTTGATGTAATACAGACTTCCTGTTCCTACAGGAGCACACACCATCGTTTCATACTTGTACCTCAAGGTAAGCCTCCTTTGGTGTGTTCCATCTTTATGGCTCGTACTCAAACCCACTATGGAGAATATGAATGGGATTTTTACTCCGTGGCCTCACTGTTGTGCTTTATAGAACAACATAACAACCACAAAGGTAATGCCACAAACAGAATATGTGCAATAAGATCACCCTCTCTATAAGGTACCTTCAGTAGTACCTGGGAACCACTGCTACTATGACTTCTCTAAGGTTGACTTCTCTTGAGCATGGGTTAAAAAAGTCGGCAAATAGAACAAAATAAAACCTGGTATGCACATGCCAAATGTTAAATAACTGGTGCTGCTGATTCATTTGTGTAACATGGAGGCATTTGTAGCAGTGACCTAGCTAGCTGGCGGAACAAATCGGCTGCCGGATTCATGTATAGCTAACACTGGGTTTGATTAGCTTAACTTGTCTTAAAGATCTGAAAGAGACTGAAACATCCAGTCTGACTCTGTCAAAAAGTTCTTCAAAGGATTTTAAATTTAATTTGTTAGGCTATAGACAGGCTGTCCACTCCAGTATTCCCAGTCTTTATGCTAATGCTAATCTTCTTTTAAGCAGCTTAAGCTGCACATTACATGAACCCTGTCACAGAAATGAACCAGAGGAATATGTTATGTATGATTACTTTTAATATTTAATTGCTTTAATCGCTGCAGTTTTGATTTTAAAATTACTTCTGATAATGCAGATTACTGTTTACATTTCTTACATGGTAGTTCAGTAGTTTTTACACAATTGTTTGTGACATTTTGGCTAATTTGCACATTCAAGGCAAAAAAACAATAGAAACATTTAACTAGTGGTTAATTCTGTTAGTCTAAGTATATTGCATTATACCTATAATCCATATACACCTTTAGTATTTCTCTTTCTTCTTCTTTAAAATTAGATTTTGGAAAAAATAAATGAGCCATTGTTTAGTTTAGAGGCAGGGGGTTGTAATTTCTGCTTCCTCTTGGGAGGATGTAGTCTTTGTTTTAAATTTGACAACCTTGACTGTCATGCACACACAGATGGTTGCAATAAACACAGTATCAAAGATCACACTCATTCTGAACTGACCCACTCAGTGCCTTAATCGGGGGCAGACTTTGGCTCTCTCTCTCTCTCTCTCTCCACACACATACTCTGTTGGTCCGTCTCCAGATTTCTTCATGTAATGTCTTTTTTTCTGCAGCTTCCAGTCTCTCCACAGCTTGGGAAGAGTCTGCGTCACTATGATCGGATTGGTTGCTTGTGTTGGTGGCGGCCTGCGTGGTTCTGGTATGTGGTAATGCAGGGAAAGGGGGTGGGGGTACGTGGCTGGGTGTGCGAAGGGGTGAAGAAGGAAGGGCTGGCCAAAGACGGTTGATTGGATAACTGGAGTGCCAGGAGTGAAGAAATCAAGGTGCCAAGATCAGGGCTGGACTTCGTGACCTCATGCTTTTTTAGGGGGTGGGGCCAACTTGATGATCTCATCTTCAGATGGCTGGCGGATGATGTCTTTATTTCACAGCGGAGGGGTGAAATGTTGGAAAAAGAGAGTTGAGAGAAAGAAAGGGTAATCATAAGAAACCTGGTCTTTCAAAAGGTGCAAGACAACAAGTATAAGACAGCACATTAAAAACAAATGATTTAAGTCTTTTCTCACGTAAAGTAAATGCTTCTACAGATATCCGACTCACACAGCTCGATTTATAGCTGTTTATAGCTATTGTTAAGACTAGACTCAGTTTCAGGCATAAGGAACGTTTTCTGCTTCTTCGCGTTAACACAATACACAGCATCAGAATAAACTTTGATTTCTCATCAAAAATGTGCCGACAACGCTAGAAAGATTTTCCACCAGAAACTTGTTAAATTTTATGTTTGAAGTCCAGTGTGCCAGCTCAAATTTGGGCATACAAATGTGAATTCAGTTTGCTATTTGCCTAATGCAAAACAGTATAATTTTTAGTTTTCAACTAATTTTTAAAAAGATTTCTAAAGTATTTGCGTTTTCTTGTGTTTGTGACATGCACCGTCATAAAAACCAGCAAAAACAAGCTGTCCATGTCCTCACATCTGTCTCCCTGTGGGATTGCTCCTCTCTCTGATTCCTGTTCTTCTGTCTCTATTCTCTAGTAATAACACAAGTTAGCAAGCAGCTGTTAAAAGTTAGCAAACAAAAGTTGCTTTTTTCTAAAAGATTCTAATGTGATTTACTTTTTTTTGCAAAGTGCTAAAATTGAAAACTCCCAAATAACAATGTTAGTTATGTTCTATCTTTAAAAATCTAATTTTGTACTTAGTAAGACTTAGTAAATGAGTACTGCCAATTAAGGGCAGCTAATGTCAGTTAGTGTCTTAACATTATGTCCTTACATTATGTGTCAGTTTAATGAATTTGTTAATTACTATACAAACAGCAGGACTAAGAACATTCATGACATTTTTGGTGCCTTTTATTTTTACTAAGTAACATCCAGAAAAGAGAAAAATATTGAATTAAAGGACATATTTGAAGGCAATTGGCAGCAGCTGAAAGCTTTAAAGTTTTGTTTTTAATTTAATTTTTTTTAAACTTTTATTGTAATTTAAAAGAGGTATTCATTACAGCAACGATCTGAAAAGATTACATTTTTCTTCTTCTTTTGCCTGATAAAATCATTAGTTATGTCAGTGTCACATTTTTGTAGCACTTTGATTATTAGTAATTAAACAAGATGAACAAACTTCGATGGAAAGATAAAGAATGATGATGACGAGGAAACAACAAGACTTATTTGACCATTGTCCTCACATTTTTATGTTGTTATAACCTCACTCTATTACAAGACAAAAATCTTGTAATAAACTAAATAAAAAACTAAATAAATGAATAGGTAGAGAATGGAAATGAACATTTTCAGTTCAACATGAAGCCTCTGAATTAATTTAACCTCTCAAAAGCTGACAGGTTATTGCAGTCTATTGGAAATTGCAGTCTGTTTAATACCAGCAGTATATTTCAACCTCATAATTAAATCTGTGTCTAAAATGTTGAAAGTAAAACATGAGATTTAATTTAAAAACAAAAAAGGGGAAACGGAGGAAACTGAAATGCGGCTGATACGACATAATAATTACTTTATTTCTCACATATTGGTCTTCCAGTAATGCTGAAGCTTTTGTTGTGACTACATATTACTGGTTAATGATTACAACATCAAGTATAACCATGTAAAACACGATTTCTTTTTAATCTATTTTATGAGCAGATCAGCCCGTTTCATACATTTACTGAGAATGAAGATCACTGAAGAAGCTGTTCAGGCAGTTATTCGGTTGAGCCACTAGAGAGCAGAACTAGATCAGATTTGGGAGAACATTAAACCAAACAGGGAACAATCTTTCAAATAAACAAATTCAACTTTCTCAGTTTTTAAGACAGAGCGTGCTACCTTTGTATTTCTTGGCCGAAGGGATGCGTGTGAGCTTGGTGTCGATCTCATCATCCTCAGAAATCTTGAGCACTTTGGTGCGATACTCGATCACCCTTGTCAGCAGGTCCGGTCGCCGTGAGATCTCAAAGATGTGTTCGATGTACGACAGGTTATCTGCATTAGGAAGCATTATTAGAGGAGATTTTTTGGCTCATAAAGGTGTTTCTGACATCAATTTAAGCCACATATGAAAAGAACCATAACAAGAAGTGGATCTAATTTATGTCTCTCACCCTGGGCCAGCTTGTCATTCTTCTCCAGGTAGCTGAACCACTCTTTGGAGGAGGTGATGTTGTTGCTCTGGTCCTCAGGGATGTCCTCCTTGCAGGCAGATTTGAGCTGCTCCAAGTCCTCGTTGGTGATGTTTTCAGACAGGTCGCTGAGCAGAGAGCTGTACTCCGCCATGGTCTGGTCACGGGAAGAGGGAAGAGAAAGAAAGGTTAGAATTGAAATAATGTTAAGTTGCAACGATGGCAGCGCGAAAGAACAAAACCTACAGCGATGAGAGAAAGAGGTTCCTAAATTATCTCAATCTAATATTGCTGTGTGCAGCAGCAGCAAGCAGCCCACCTACTTCCCAGACTTCACAATGGAAAACAGCGAGAAAAACTTAGCTGATGACAATAGCATACCGTCAGGGTGGGATGGAAAAGCACAAAGACACAGAGTCATCTCCTTTCTTTAAGGTCATTTGCTGCCAGAGTTTGGTTTTTAGCAGAGAGTTGGAAGAGGAGACTGACTGAAGAGAAAAAACAGGACCAATCTGGACAAAACACAGACTTTTAACCATAACAAGAAGGCCCCAAAGGGAAGATCTTTTAACCCAGAGGAGGATTTTATTTAACATTCAGTCTATTTTTCTCCACCACAAGTCGATGGATTTATTTTGATAATCTTTTTATTTCATATAGGTTTCGCAGATCTCCCATTTGTCCAGAAAACGATTAAAAATACATCAGAGAATATCATAAATGAAGATATCTGACATGTAATGATAACAATGAATATGGGCACTGCATTTTATTCGGGGTCAACACCAGCTTCTTCTTGCAGGGTGTAAAATATGGATGCAAAACAAAAGCACTTCTTACTCCTGCTTATGCAAACCTTTGTGACTGTCTCCCCCTAGTGAAATGACTGAAAATGACAGTTTCTTTGTTTGTTGGCTTTTCTGTGTGTTTCAGTTCAATTCAATTCAATTTTATGAATACATCGCCAAGCCACAACAGCAGTCACCTCAAGGCACTTTATATTGTAAGGTAAAGACCCTGCACTTATTCAAGGAAAACAGAGAAAACCCAACAATTTCAGGACTTTGAAATTGTTGCGGCTAAACATGTGACTCCTGGTTTCGACTGGGGAGGAGACCAGAGGAAAAAAAAAAACAGTTTGTGTGCAGGATTCTACATTCACTGGCCAGAGAAATAGGTACACCTTGCAAATACCACCGTGGTCCTCCTTTTGCCTTCAGAACTGTCCTAACATTTCATGGCAAAGACTCAACAATATGCTGCAAATACTCCTCAGAGTTCGGTCCCAGTTGACATGACAGCATCACAATCTGTTGCAGATTTGTCAACCGCACATCCATGATGTGGATCTCCTGTTCATGCTTTGATGTTGTACACTAAACTGTGATTCTACCATCTGAACGTCACAGGAGAAACAAATCGAGAATGAGACCGGGCAACGTTTTTTCAGATCATCTGTTGCCTAGTTTTCACGATCCTGTGTTCATTACAGCTTTTGTTTCCTGTTCTGAGCTGACAGGAGTGGCACCTGGGGTCGTCTTCTGCAGAAACTCAGAGAGAAGAGGGGTTGAGCAGGTGTACCTAATATTATGGCATATAGTGTATACCCAGATTTGAAAAGATAATGTCCTGGCACTGAAATGACAGCCAGAGCTCCATCCCCCCCACCCAATATAAGATATAAGCTCCAGATCAGAAGTAGAGGACATCATCTTATGAATCGTTTGCTGTGAAATCATGATCCACAAGGAGACGACAGCACACACTTTGGGAACAGCTGACACACATTATTATGTAATCCACTGGAGCTACGATGTAATAAATACTCATTCTGGGGGGATAACGTGAAATTCTATAAACAGAGTCAAGACAGTAATTTTTTACATCTCTATTTACACTTAAATAAAGCTGTGTTTCCTTATGTTTTACTTCAATACCAGTTTGAATAACAGATTTTAAGGCTAACAGTTTTGACTCACAATTTTTCCTTCTCCTAACATCTGCTTCTTTTCAGCTTTGACATGAAATGTAAGCAGTGGTCAGAAGATTCAGTACACAGGCATGCTGTGGTCAGAGATCACACCAGCGGCAAAGGGGCATGCGTTTTAAGGATTTTAGGGTTAAGGTTGTTCTTACAAAGACATAGTATGAGGGTATTTGTTTTTGTGTGTCAGTGTGTAGGAGTGGGTGAAAAAAGGGACCCCCCCCCCACACACACACACACACACAAAGTAAAACAGAGGCATAAACTGACAGTGTGTCAGACATGTTGCGCAGCCTGTTTGCTCCGCTCAGCGCCGCTGGTTTAGAGGAAGCAAAGAAAGTGCACCATGAGGTCAAATGCAAGCTTTTATAGTGAGACTGTAAATCATATCTCGGGTTTATCATATTTGGGTCGAGGGATTTGCACGCACTTTCATATTCAGATGACTGTGTAGCGATGATCTGCATAAGGTGAAGAGAGAGGGAGGAGCAAACAGACATATTTTTGCAGGTGCTGTGTTAAATCATTTATATTTATATTCATGAATCTGTTTTTGTGGGAGCACAGTGGTGAAGCGCTTAGCACTTCACCAAGCAGGTCCTCCTATCTGGAGCTTGCATGTTCCCTCCAGATAATCCTCCTGCCTCCCACAGGCAGGTGTGTCTGTAGGTGTGAATGCGAATGTAAATAGTTGTCTGTCTTTAAGTGTTATCCCCACAATAGTTTAGCAGCCAGTCCAGGGTGTAACGTGCCTCTCAGCCTTTGACACCATGGAAGCTCCAGACCTTAAACTGGAAAAGCATTCATTTCACATTATATATATTTTAACATACACGTATTATTTTTGTCCTGATTAAACAAATGATGATTGTATCATCTTAATTCTTAGGTAAACTAAAGTTGTCACAAGTAAGCTCACTCTTAATTGTTGCAGCTTACTTATAACATGGTTTGACATTTTTAAATGCCACACACACACACACACACACACACACACACACACACACACACACACACACACACACACACACACACACACACACA